TCATATTCCATTTGGTTGGGGATCAAGGAGTTGTATTGGTATGAGGTTTGCACTAATGGAGGCTAAAGCATGTTTAGTGAGTATATTGAGGAAGTATAGGTTTGAAAGATCACCTGATACTCAGGTTAGGTTTATTGAACTGTGTTTGTGTTTATTCATTGTATTGCAGGTGCCGTTGCAACGGAAATTTAGCCTCACACAATCTCCAAAGAATGGGATATATTTGAAACTTATCAAAGTTTAGAAGAGCTACATCCTATCCCATATAATCATAAGAAATTGCTTGTTAACATTTATAATAACTATAGTTTTAATGAGTTTTTTTAGCTTTTCTAATGCACCTATTTTTGCTGCAAACAATAATTAATTTGATCTAAAAGAATTTAAAGAAGTCATAGATTAATGGGTGTGTCTAAATCTATCAGTGAAATTCTTAATAATGTGGATCACTCTTCTTTCTCTTGCTTCTCTGCTTCTGCTCTATTGCTGGTACTTGTAAGTGAGGATCAGTTAACTTTATTGTTGTATTACCTTTGTTTGTTTGTCATTCATTTACTAGTTTTTGTTATGCTCCTTACCGAGTTCTGAAGAGACTTGGCATCACTCATCCTCCAGTGAGGCCTTTCATGGGGAATGCATTACAAGTATTGAAACTGGTAAACCAGAAACTGGGGGAGATTGAGTCAAATGTTGTTACTATAGTATCGATATGTACATGTGAATCTAGCTGCATGATAATTTATTAAATAGTCAATTTAGCTCATAAAAATTAGATCTAAAATTCGTTTCACAAAACTGCTTTGTTGTTATGCATAAAATTGTGATAGATAGACTGCATGTCTTTGTTTGTATGTAGGGGTATAATGATCTTCTGACCAAATGGATCAATGAGAACGGAAAAGTATTTGGGTAAGCTAGTATCATGCTAATTTAGTAATTTAGTAACTATTAGTGTAACTATGTTATTATAGCAGACACAAAGTTTTATCTATTTTTGTGGAATACATGTACCTTAAGCCTACTATTATTTGCGTCTACTAATTTTAGCGAAATCAGCAAAAGTCATGTTTAGCATTACTAATTTTAGCGTTTTTAACCAAATTAACTATAAATAATAACCATTATAATGAATAATAATTATTTTGGCGTCTATTTAATTTAGTGGTTTAAAGCTTTCTCACTAATATAGCTAAATTTAGTAGACGCTAAAAATAGTAGGCTTAAGGTATATTATATAATAATCTGCATAAAATTAATAATCAAATAGTAAGGTGTAGTTTGTGTAGTACTATGTCAGCATAATAAAAATTGGGGGTGATTTTTTAGCCATTTTTTGAAAAAATCATGAGCCTTGGGTATTTTTTAGATTTTGAGAAATTTCTTAAAATGGCTGTAACTTGAAAAATTTAAGTCGAAACTAGCTCAAACTTTCTACAGAGCATAAGAACATTAATATGTATCAGACAATGTAATAAAAATTGGGGTGATTTCGGAGCCATTTTTAAAACCATGAGCTATAGGCTTGGGTATTTTTTAGATTTTGACAAATTTCTTAAAATGGCTGTAACTTGAAAAATTTAAGTCGGAATCAGTTCAAATTTTCTACACAGCATAAGGACACGAATATGTATCAGAAAATGTAATAAAAATTAGGGGTGATTTCGGAGCCATTTTTTGAAAAAACCATGGGCTATAGCCTTAGCTTTTTAAAAAATTGACTCATTTTGAAAGTGCTCATAACTCAAAAATTATTTGTCAAGCTTTTTACGTATAGCATAGGGCATCAATGTGTATCAGAAAATGCGATAAAAGTCGAGGTAATTTTGGAGCTACATGTATTTTTCTAAAATAGGGCTATTATAGTACAGGGTATTTTTCAAAACTTGCCCATTTTAAAAATGACCATAACTTGAAAAATTTTAAAAGTAGTTATACATGTAGTATAGAGTCTTAATTGGGCTAAATTTTATAATCACAATTAAATTACTAACAACACTTAAAAACTATTATAAACTATCACAATTTTATTGTACTGGAACTCTTCTCTCCATTTACATGTAGTTATTACATTGGTGCCAAGGTTCACATTGTAGTTGCTGATCTTGACATACTAAAAGTGATAACAGTAAAAGAATCCGACAAATTTATTGATACTGATGTGATTAAAAATCTATTTTATAATTATGCATAATTAAAACGGCATGTATATTTTTAGAAAGAGCCTGACGTCATGAATCAAGTGCGTAAAAATATCAAATTAGGATCTGGTTTGGTTTTTGAAAAAGACGAGGAATGGAAGCGAGTTAGACGCATTGTTTCTCCAACTTTTTCAATTAAGAAACTAAAGCAGGTAAGCCTATAGTGACAATAGTGATGTAATTACCAGTATTCCTCTTTTATGTTTGGTAGATGATGCCACTGGTTGAAAGAAATTGTGATATTCTAAACACTGTGTTTGACGGAATTAGCAATACAGGACAAAGTGTGAATATCCACAAGTATGATAAGCACTATCATTATTATTATAGTATATATCCCAGGATACAAGAAGTAGACTATAGGACCCTGATTTTTAATTTAATGTAATGTGCTCTGCTAGATTTCTAGACATTGTATCACTTTTATGTTTTGTCTGTAATAGGCCCACTCTATTGTAATATGAAACTATTTTTTAATTGTTTACTTGATCAATGATAAATGCTATCATTATAATCATACACAATTTACTTTTTATCTTGTAGGATTTTTGGTCAGTTTAGTCTGCAGACTATGCTTGCTGTTGCTTTTGGTTCTGAAGTTAATTTACTGAAAGGAGAGGGGAGTTTACTGACAGATGCAGCTGCTGGATTTTTTGGAAGTTTGAGTGATTCTTTCTTTACATGGGAAAACATATTTTCTTGTGAGTACCTTGTAGTCACTTATTACTGTATAGCTCCAAATTTTTGTCAGTCAAAAATTTTGTCAAATTTGTCAGAAATTTTTTTGTTGAAATTTTTACTTTATGTGGATATCTTTCAGATTTATAACAGAATTGACGAATTTAATTGACAAAAATTAATTTTAACAAGAAATTAAGATTTTGACGAAAGTTTTGAGTGACAAAAATTTAGAGCTATATGGTACCAAATGATGATAAATCTTTACTGTAGCTCATTTCCCAATTCTAATGAAGTATGCCAGTGTAATGGTTGCTAAATATGTGCCACTAGCAAGCCACATGAAGAATATCAATGATGCATCGATGGAGATCTTAAAATCAAGAAGGGAGCAAGTAGAAAGTGGTTCAGAAAAGGTCAATTTCTTTAAAAAATATATTGTTAAATAGTTATATTATTTGCAACTATAGTTGAAGGACTTTATTCAACTATTAATGGATGCCAGAGCTGATGAATCATCAGATGAAGAGAGTTCCAATAAGGAGAATATGCTAAATGACTTGCAGATTGCTGGAGTTTGTTTTGATTTCATGGTGGGTGGATATGAAACAACTGCTAATGCTCTTGCCTGCACTTCATATCTACTGTCACTCAATCCTGATGAACAAGAACGGTTATGTGAAGCTATTGATAATTACTATCAGGAAAATGAAGTTAGTAGTATATTAATATAATGCCAATTTCTTATCAATGTTTATTAGGATGCTTCATTGTATGATGCTTCACAGAATATTCCTTATCTTGATTGGGTCATTCAAGAGGCACTATGCATGCATCCAGCAGCATCATAGTAAGCATTTAATAAAAACATTTCACTGTTAATTTCTATAATTTAGTCGGCCTCGTCTATGCAATGAAACCTGTACCATTAATGGTGTTACTTTCCTTAAAGGAGCTAAAGTTATGATTCCTATTCAGTACCTACACTATTCACCTGAACACTGGGAGGAGCCTGATGCATTTAAACCAAGCAGGCACTTGAGAATTTAGATAATTATAAATAATGTTTTGTTACCATAGGTTTAGTCCAGAAGGCAAGGAGGGTAGGAATCCTTTGTCTCATATTCCATTTGGTTGGGGACCAAGGAGTTGTATTGGTATGAGGTTTGCACTAATGGAGGCTAAAGCATGTTTAGTGAGTATATTGAGGAAGTATAGGTTTGAAAGATCACCTGATACTCAGGTTGGTTGTAGATGAACTTGCTTGTCATAATTATTAAAATACTTTCATGCATGATATATTTTTAATTTTGTAGATACCATTAATGAAGAAACAAGGTCTTACTCAATCTCCAAAAGATGGCATTTTTCTAAGAATTATCAAGGCTTGACTCTAATTCTAAATTCGAATTATTAATATATTATTTTCATTTTCAGGGAGTTTACAAGCATAACAATATTTTTAACTTTTTTGATAAAACAATAATTTTCACCATAAATAATTTTTATTTCATCAAATTTTAGGGGCGTGGTATGGGTGTGGTTGGCCCTGCCTTAAAACCACGTGGAGTCATCATGATTGATGTGACAATGCCAAGACAAGGAGCACTGGAGTGGAGGTCTAGGATCCCAACAGGGTCAGGCCCGCCTGACTAGATCCCAACTGAGACAGAACTAGTAATCATAGCCAACCAAAGAAAGTATGACTAATATATAAAGGTTTTATAATCTAGTTATTTTTGGGAATTGAAAATATTTTCAATTAAAGTATTTGATGCATGCAGCACATGCTGATTAATAGTTAATAATTGATGTATAACATTTATTTGGCTTGCCAGGCATATTTGGCACTAATTTTAGTTCCTCTTATTGAACTTTGTGCCCAGGCCCCCACTGATTTTTATTTAATTTGTTTTAGTGATCAATTTGGACCTCAGTATTGCCTTGATTATGATATAACATTTGCAATTACACAGACATGCAGTGATTGTGATTACTGATTACAGAATGGTAGCAATATATATCACATTTAAAAGTAACAGGGGTAGCACTAAAGTCCACAAGACACTTGGCATTATGAATAAATTGAATATGAATTGTTGTTGCTTGTAATCAAAATTTATGTGATCAAACCCAACCCTGTTGAGGCAATGCCTATACCAAAAAACTGACTTGTTGCATACATGTACATACCGATAATATAAGTTAGATTGACCTTTTTGCATGTACAACGTACAGTAAGATGACAGTATTCCAACCATTGATTAGAGTCATAATACATGCACAGCACATGCTGAACTGGTACACAATCTTTAGAAGCCAGAATACTACTACTACTACTAATAACAATTATTTGGCTTGCCAGACTTATTGGTTTGCCAAACATATTGTATTGGCTTGCTAAACATATTGACTTGCCACACAAATTTGGAACTAATTTAGTTCCTTTTATGAGCCCTCGCTGATTTTTATTCAATTTATTTTAATTTATGATCAATTAGCAAACGTGTGATATGTTTATATCTGTATCTCTCACAGTTTAATTGTGGCTGAGAGCAGCAATGAGCATACCATTGATTTGACTCAAGAGGAAATTGTAGGTCAGGCTCGACTAGCAGTTGCTACTCAAGTGAGTCACTAACTTTTGTGAATGTTATGTGATTATTTTTTGTAGTATTTTAATACTAAGTTGAATGAGCTTGGATCTTACTCTATTAACCATTCAAGAAGTGGGTGGTACATGTACAATTAAGAGGTTTCCCTCTCTACATCTTTATTTCAATGTTTCTGTTGATCTCTGCTTTGTCTTTAATTTTATTTGTATATCTTACACTGCTTGAATCTGATTCCAACTGAAATGTTTGAGTTATGTACTTTAATTATTTCTAAAAATACCCTGTACTATAGCCCATTATGATTTTTCCTTTTTTCTGATACTAGTTATCTTCACAATGAGACAGTGTTTGCTGCTGCTCAGAAGCAGTTTGTGTACATCTATGATAGAACTGGTACCGAGTTACACAGAATATCAAAAATGATGTCAGTCAACAAACTTGGATTCCTTCCTTATCACTTCCTCTTAGTCTCTGCAGTAAGTCATTAAATACATGCACACTAGCATATTCATAAACTTTATAATATTCATAAAATGTGAGTTTTGACTTTCTTCTAAATGCAAATTGAAGTGCTGCAAAAACTGTTTCTGAAGTAAAAATATGCAAATTGAATAAGCTTGCCTATAGTTTTACTAAGGGTTCATATGTTATAGTATCATTTTAATAATAGTGTTCTGTCTGGTTAGTTACATTGCCTTGATTATGATATAATTACACAGACATGCAGTGATTGTGAATACTGATTACACGATGGTAACAATATGTATCACAAAGTAACAATGAAAGCACTCGTGTACTTTAAAGTGCATTAGAAAGTAAAATAACTTGGCATTATGAATACAAATTGTAGTCGATTACAATCAAAAATTTTGTGATCAACTCCAACCCTCCTGAGTGAATGTCTATACCAAAAAACTGACTTGTTGTATACATGTACATTAATATAAATTTTCACCACTTATGCATGTACATGTACTATGTAAGATGAAAGTATTCCAACCATTGGTTAGAGTCATAACACATGCACAGCATGTGCTGAACTGGTACACAATCTTTAGAAGCCAGAATAATACTAATACTAATAATATAATAGCAATTATTTGGCTTGCCAGACATATTGGTTTTCCAAACATATTGGCTTGCGAGACATATTGACTCGCCAGACATATTTGGCACTAATTTTTGTTCCTTTTACTCTGTGTCCAAGCTCTCACTGATTTACATGTATATTGAATTTGTTTTGATTTATGATCAATTTACCTATACCCCGAGACTAGGGACGGGTATAAAAGAGCAAACATAGCCACTCTATCTTATCAGTCATATCATAGTAATACACTCTTTATAATATATCAGTATGAAATTTATTTGTGTATTTCTTTCTCTGTTTATACTAACAGTAGAAGCTAGAACAAGTGCAGAAGAAGAGTGGGGCTTGGAAACAGGACCAAAAGAAGCCTGGAAAGCTTATGATGATGAGTATAGCACACAAGAACCATCTGCTAATCAAAACGAGAAAAATGGTTTAGAGAGTGATGATTTCATGCAAAATGGCCTGCCAACACAGCCTCCGCAAGATATAGATCTACTTCAACCAGAAAGAGAACCATACCAACCACAAAAGTCAATGCAAGATGTTGACAGCAATGCTGCTGGGGTAAAAGTTCAAACTGGAAGTTGCGCATGCGCTGAGAAAGTAAAGAAAGGCCTTCTCCAGTCCCTTCAAAGCTGCGTCAATGTTCTCAATGCTGAGGAATCCTGTACAGGCCGTAACAAAAGAGCAGTTTATGAGATTGTGCAGCTTATGTCATCATGTGCCTGCTCTCAAAAAGTTAATAGGGATCTCATGCAATCACTAAAGAGCTGCAATGATGCTATGATAACGGCCTCAAGTTGCACCTCAACCTTTGCTTCCTGTGCAGAGGTCAAGAGCTACAATCCTGGAAGTGCATCAGGTAACTACCAGTTATATATTAATAATAAAACTATACCGGTATACTGTCATATGGGAGCTTTGTGTGGCATTGATGGAGGATGGACTAGACTAGGAATGCTTGACATGACTCAATCCTCTTCCACCTGCCCCTCTTCACTCCAGCTGATTACACAGAGTAATATAAGATTTTGCACTAAGAATAAAGCCGGCTGTCAGTCTATACCTATCCCTTCACAGGGTTTGAAGTATTCTCAAGTATGTGGACGAGTCAGAGGTTATCAGAGGTATACACTTGATGGTTTCTTAAACAGAGGAATTGATCAAATTTATGTGGATGGCGTTAGCATCACTCGTGGGTCTCCTCGTAAGCATGTTTGGTCTTTTGGTGGAAGCCAAGCAAATTATCGTTGTCCATGCAGTGGTTCTATAAAACCTCCATCATTTGTTGGGAGTGATTATTATTGTGAGTCTGGTTTTCCAGGTGGTCATCGTAATACTTTTGGAGTTACCGATCCACTTTGGGATGGAAAAAATTGCCCATCCAATGAAGCAAAATGTTGTTCTCCCCCTCTTCTCCCATGGTTCCTCAAGAAGATTGGATCCACGATTACTGATAATATTGAGATGAGGGTTTGCACTGATGAGGCACCAGGTAATGAAAACATTGGAATTGATCAATATGAGATATATGTCAACTGAACTGAAACTGTTTACAATGATTTTTTTGCAATAATTTAGGCCGTTTAAAATTCATTACTATTTCTTCTTTTTGCAATAATTTAGGCCGTTTAAAGCTCATTACTATTTTTTTCTTCTTTTTTGCAATAATTTAGGCCGTTTAAAATTCATTACTATTTCTTCTTTTTTGCTATTTTAGTATCAATTAGCCTGGGCTATGTTTAGATATTTAGACTTCAAAAAATAATCTAAACACAGGTGGTGAATTGAACATGCATGCAATGTGAATGATGCCAGAGTTTAGCAAGGACTCTGCACATGATGTCAAACTCTCAAAAGTTTAACATTAAAACTTTTCACACCCTAGACAAAAGGCTATGGCCAGAACCCAAAATTGTACCTTAGTTACATTGCCTTGATTGTGATATGATATTTGCAATTACACATACATGCAGTGATTGTGATTACTGATTACACAATGGTAACAATATGTATCACAAAGTAACAATGAAAGCACTCGTGTACTTTAAAGTGCACTAGAAAGTAAAATAACTGGGCATTATAAATACAAATTGTAGTCGATTGCAATAAAAAAACTGACTTGTTGTATACATGTACATTAATATAAATTTTCACCACTTGCATGTAGATCTACATGTACTTTGTAAGATGACAGTATTCCAACCATTGATAGTCATAATACATACACAGCACATTCTGAACTGGTACACAATTTTTAGAAGCCACTGAGAATAATACTAATAATATAATAATAACAATTATTTGGCTTGCCAGACATATTTGTTTGCTGGACATATTGGCTTACCAGACATATTGACTTTCCATACATATTTGGCATTAATTAAATTCCTCATTTTATGAGTCCTCACTTATTTTTATTCAATTTATTTTAATTTATGATCAATTTGGACCTATAAGGTTGTATAAGCAAACATGTGATATTTTTGTATCTCTCAGACTCTCACAGTTTAATTGTGGCTGAGAGCAGCAACGAGCGTACAATTGATTCGACTCAAGAGGAAATTGTAGGTCAGGCTCGACTAGCAGTTGCTACTCAAGTGAGTCACTAAATTTTGTAAATGTTATGTGATTATTTTTTGTAGTATTTTAATACTAAGTTGAATGAGCTTGGACCTTACTTTATTAATCATTTAAGAGAAGTGGATGGTGCATGTACAATTAAGAGGTTTCTCTCTCTACATCTTTTATTTCAATGTTTCTGTTTATCTCTTCTTTGTCTTTACTTTTATTTTTATGTCCTACACTGCTTGAATCTGATTCCAACTGAAATGTTTGAGTCATGGTCTATGCTTGTTTCTGAAAAATTTCCTTTACTATTATAGTCCATTATGTTTTTTTGTGAAATTAATTTTACATAATTTTTCTGAGTAGTTACCATCACAATGAAACAGTGCCAAAAATAAGTAAAAGAAAACTCTCCATTTTAATAATGAATCTGTTACATACATTGTTCATATGTTATGTAGCAAGTTTGATCAAAATTGATTCTTTTATAAACTTTTAAGTTGCCCTAAAGCCATGTACATGTACCATTGTAGTGCTTGTCAGCCCATGAAGCATGCTTTTTAGCTCATTCGGCATGCTATATGGGAAACCAATGTATTCAATTCTAACTTTGATTGGCTACATGTACAGTAGTACACCCCACCAAAATCATTGTCATGCTTATTATACCTGTCTTGTATTTGTTAGGATCAAATGACTACATTATCAAGTGGTTGTGAAGGACAGTTGAGTGCTATGTCTGATCATTTGTGTGAGCTGAGGGACAAACTGGCTAAGACTGAAGAAGGATTTGAAAATCCAAAGAAAGGAAAGGTGATTTTATTTATTATGACATTATTTTATTATTTATCCATTTCCTGCCTTATGTTTCTCTTATGTTTGTCCACAGCTTTTTCTCTGACTCTCTTCAAGTTTATGATGCTGTTCTGTGCTTGTTGTTAAGTTCTGTTTTGAATGTTTCTGTGGTGTCTCATGTCCCTCTTGGATCCAGGCCTCATTGCCTGTGAGATTGGGTGATTTGGGGTTCTATTCAGCGAAGCAGCTTGCACCTTCCTGCTTTTGTCCTCAGCTGCTGCTTCTGACTGTTTGGTTCGCCTCATTCTACCATACTCAGTTCTTTCCCCCATGTCTCCATACTATGACAAGGCTGCTTTGGCGCTCTGGTCTAATACCTCTCCATCACTCACCCCTCCTTTGATCTTGCAAGCAACATGTTGCCAGAAATAGAACAGCCTTCTATTTCTGGTAACCTGTTGCTTAAAAGATCAAAGTAACCACAAATGTTTCCAGCAACATGTTGCCTAGTGTATGCCTGGCTTTAGAAGTCTGCCAAGTATGCTGCCCTTACATCGTACATTCACTCCGGTAGCCATTGAGTCTCTTGGTACTATATGGGCCCTCAGTCATTGTCATTCATTAGATCATTGGGCCACTGTATTTAGCAATATTCTAGGGATGACAATGCCTGCCATTACCTGATTCAGTACCTCTCTGTCACTCTTCAGCAGGGGAATGTGGCTTTGTTGATGGACACATTACCCACTTCATCTTTCCGACGTATATTATTTTTTTGGCAGTTATTATTATTGTTATTTTATTTTATTATTATCATTATTTACTTAATGCTGCTTGTAAAATACCCATACCATTTTGTTATACCCATACTATAGCTATTGTACCATTGTAGTCTTGTGTAGCCAGCAGCCCTCCTGCAAAGCAGAAGTTGCTGTAGGAGCTGCTTCAGCTATATATGTTGTAGCTTCACTAAAGTTCTTTATTTCGTCGCTTTTAGTAGCTTGTAGCTATTATTTTTTGTTTTGCAACAGTTGGGAACCTAATGACATTGAATGATGAATATCATTATAGAAAATTATTGCATGAAAATTAGCCTTGGGATGGGTTTATTTGGTCCGTGCCCTGAGAGGGAAGGGTATAAAAAGAGCAATCATAGCCTCTCTGTCTTATCAGTTCTATCATAGTAATACACTCTTTATAATACATCAGTATGAAATTCATTTGTGTATTTCTTTCTCTGTTTATACTAACAGTAGAAGCTAGAACAAATGCAGAAGAAGAGTGGGACTTGGAAACAGGACCAAAAGAAGCCTGGAAAGCTTATGATGAGTATGGCACACAAGAACCATCAGCTAATCAAAAGGAAAATGGTTTAAAGAGTGATGATTTCATGCAAAATGGTATGGCAAAACAGCCTTCGCAAGATGTAGATCTACTTCAACCAGAAAGAGATTCATATCAACCTCAAAAGTCAATGCAAGATGTTGACAGCAATGCTGCTGGGGTAAAAATACAAGCTGGAAGTTGTGCATGTGCTGAGAAAATAAGGAAAGGCCTTCTCCAGTCCCTTGAAAGCTGCGTCAATGTTATCAAGGCTATGGAATCCTGTACTGGCCGTAACAAAAGAGCAGTTTATGAGAGTGTGCAGCTTATGTCAACCTGTGCCTGTGCTCAAAAAGCTAATAGGGATCTCATGCAGTCACTAAAGAGCTGCACTGATGCTATGATGACAACCACAACTTGCCTTGCAAGTTTTTCCTCCTGTGCAGAGATCAAGAGCTACAATCCTGGAAGTGCATCAGGTGACTACCAGTTATATATTAATAATAAAAGTGTAACGGTGTACTGTCATATGGGAGCTTTGTGTGGCATTGATGGAGGATGGACTAGACTAGGAAAGCTTGATATAACTCAACCCTCTTCTACCTGCCCCACTTCACTCCAGCTGATCACACAGAGTAGTACAAGAATTTGCACTAAGAATCAAGCTGGCTGTAAGTCTATACCTGTCCCTTCACAGGGTTTGAAGTATTCTCAAGTGTGTGGACGAGTCAGAGGTTATCAGAGGTATACACTTGAAGGTTTTATAAACCACAAAACAATTGATCAAGGTTATGTGGATGGTGTTAGCATCACTCGTGGGTCTCCTCGTAAGCATGTTTGGTCTCTTGGTGGAAGCACCCAAAATTATGGTGGTTGTCCATGCAGTGGTGGTAGGAAGCCTGCATCATTTGTTGGCAGTGATTATTATTGTGAGTCTGGTTTTCCAGGTGGTCCACAGAATACTTTTGGAGTTGCCGATCCACTTTGGGATGGGAAAAATTGCCCATCCAATGAAGCAAAATGTTGTACTCCCCCTCTTCTCCCATGGTTCCTCAAGAAGATTGGATCCACAATTACTGATAATATTGAGATAAGGGTTTGCAGTGATGAGGCACCAGGTAATGAAAACATTGGAATTGATCAATACGAGATATATGTCAACTGAACTGAAACTGTTTACAATGATTTTTTGCAATAATTTAGGCCATTTAAAATTCATTACTATTTCTTCTTTTTGCAACAATTTAGGCCATTTTGAATTTATTACTATTTCTTCTTTTTTGCAATAATTTAGGCCGTTTCAAATTTATTATTATTTCTTCTTTTTTTGCAATAATTTAGGCTGTTTCAAATTTATTACTATTTCTTCTTTTTTGCAATACTATAGGCTATTTAAAATTCATCAATAATTTTTCTTTTTTGCTATTTTAGTATCAATTAGCCTAAGCTATGTTTAGATTTTTAGGCTTCAAAAAATAATCTAAACACAAACAGTGCATTGAACATGACTGCAATGTGAATGATGCCAGAGTTTAGCAAGGACTGTGCATATCAAACTCTCACAAGTCTAACATTAAAACTTTTCACACCCTAGGCAACAGAGACCTAAATAGTACCTTAGTTACATTGCCTTGATTATGATATAATATTTGCAATCACACAGACATGCAGTGATTGTGATTACTGATCAGATCTAGACAATCGTAACAATATGTATCATAAAGTAACACTGAATGTACTCATGTACTTTAAAGTGCACTAAATTGTAGTCGATTGCAATCAAAAATTTTGTGATCAACCCCAACCCTCCTGAGTGAATGTCTATACCAAAAACTGTCTTGTTGTATACATGTACATTGATATAAATTGGATTCACCACTTATGCATGTATACATGTACTATATAAGATGACAGTATTCCAACCATTGGTTAGAGTCATAACACATGCACAGCATGTGCTGAACTGGTACACAATCTTTAAAAGCCAGAATACTACTATACTACTACTAATAATATAATATAGTAAGAATTACTTGGCTTGCCAGACATAATAATATTACTGGTTTGCCAAAGATATTGGCTTGCTAGACATATTGGCTTGCCAGATATATTTGGCAATAATTTTTGTTCCTTTTACTCTGTGTCCGAGATAAAAAGAGCAACCATAGCCTATCTATTTTGTCAGTCCTATCATAGTAATACACTCTTTATAATAAATTAGATCTACATCAGTATGAAATTTATTTGTGTATTTCTTTCTCTGTTTATGCTAACAGTAGAAGCTAGAACAAATGCAAAAGAAGAGTGGGACTTGGAAACAGGACCAAAAGAAGCCTGGAAAGCTTATGATGAGTATGGCACGCAAGAACCATCTGCTAATCAAAAGGAAAATGGTTTAGAGAGTGATGATTTCATGCAAAATGGCCTGCCAGCACAGCCTCCACAAGATATAGATCTACTTCAACCAGAAAGAGAATCATATCAACCTCAAAAGTCAATGCAAGATGTTGACAGCAATGCTGCTGGGGTAAAAATACAAGCTGGAAGTTGTGCATGTGCTGAGAAAATTAGGAAAGGCCTTCTCCAGTCCCTTGAAAGTTGCATCAATGTTATCAAGGCTATGGAATCCTGTACCAGCCGTAACAAAAGAGCAGTTTATGAGAGTGTGCAGCTTATGTCAACCTGTGCCTGCGCTCAAAAAGCTAATAGGGATCTCATGCAGTCACTAAAGAGCTGCAATGATGCTATGATAAAAACCACAAGTTGCATCAGATCTATAACCTATTCTTCCTGTGCAGAGATCAAGAGGAACATTTCTGGAAGTGTATCAGGTAACTACCAGTTATATATTGATAATAAAAGTGTAACGGTGTACTGTCATATGGGAGCTTTGTGTGGTATTGATGGAGGATGGACTAGACTAGGAAACCTTGACATGACTCAACCCTCTTCTACCTGCCCCTCTTCACTCCAGCTGATTACACAGAGTAAAACAAGATTTTGCACTAAGAATAAAGCCGGCTGTCAGTCTATACCTATCCCTTCACAGGGTTTGAAGTATTCTCAAGTGTGTGGACGAGTCAGAGGTTATCAGAGGTATACAGTTGATGGTTTCATAAACAACAGAGGAATTGATGCAGTTTATGTGGATGGCGTTAGCATCACTCGTGGGTCTCCTCGTAAGCACGTTTGGTCTCTTTGTGCAAGCCAAGCAAGTCAAGGTTGTCCATGTGGTAATTCTAGAAAACCTACTGCATCATTTATTGGCAGAGATTATTATTGTGAGTCTGGTTTTCCAGGTGGTGGACAGAATACATTTGGAGTTGCTGATCCACTTTGGGATGGAAAAAATTGCCCATCCAATGAATCAAAATGTTGTGCTTACCCTCTCCTCCCTTGGTTTCTCAAGAAGATTGGATCCACGACTACTGATAATATTGAGATGAGGGTTTGCACTGATGAGGGACCAGGTAATGAAAACGTTGGAATTGATCAATATGATATATACGTCACCTGAACTGAAACTGTTTACAATAATTTTTTTGCAATAATTTAGGCCGTTTAACATTTATTACTTTTCTCTTTTTTTACTATTATAGTATAAAATTGATGATGATAATAATAATATTGTTTTTTTTGGTTTTTTTTTGGCTTTGGTATAGCAACAACAATAACAACAACAACAACAACAATAATAATAATGATAATAAGTTGCTTCTTTTTTGTTAGGACTTTCTTTTTTGGTTTGTTTTTTGGCTTTGGTATAACAACAACAATAACAACAACAATAATGGTAATAATAAGAATAATAATATTAAGGTCTTTTAGATCCTGAAATAACCAGTTACCGGTATCATGGTTATCTTGATAATTAAGAGTATTTTGTTCATAGGAGTCATGCAGTTACTTGACATAGTCTATCATGAGTATTGAGAATATCTATGATACAGTGATTTTCCTTAAACTTACATGAAAGGCAAGCAGAGATGTGTTAGGCACATGCTCTGTTGTGGTCAGTATTAAGTAGGTGCATCCGTTTTATTTCTGACCACAACAGAGCATGTGCATGACACATTTCTGCTTGCCTTTCATGCCAGTTTAAGGAAAATCACTGTATTTGAATATCTATGGTGAGCTATGGTGAGCTCTAATTGTCAAGGACACACCCACGCAGCCTACTAAATAAACATTATTAGACTAACTACACTTTCTAATTTTAGATTTATGTGATACAATACATGTGTGATATGTGATTTATAAAATAATCACATGGCTATACTCCAGTCTCAGTGTCACAAGGTGACAAGGACAATTGGCTGCCCTGTACATATGGAGGATCCCTATCAGTAGAGCTGGACTCAGTTTCTTCACTTTACAAGCTAGGATCCAACTATAGGGTATGCTACTGAGTCTGTTGACTTTGTCTTCAATGCCTTGTCAATTTTGTACAGTCAGTTCAAATTTTAAGCCGAAGTTGATATGCCATTTAACAACGAAAGAACAAAAAGTAAATAAAAACAATAATTAATAAAATTAATGTTATAATAATGTTATTATATATTACTGAATAGTTATTGTTTGTCCAATTCGTTAATTATTTGATGGTCGGTTGTGTCTTGAAGCTTCACCAACTGAAGGTCACAGTTCAGTGTTTGCTCATCGCTCACCTCTGTGCTATGGTGCGATTGGTGCTATATAATGCTTGAGGTAAGTATCATGTGACTATCATGTGATCTTTATTAATGCAGGGGGTGGAGCCAGTCCTCACTACATACATCAATACACAGTGCTTTTCATTCCTTAGGAGGAATAATATAGGTATTGGAATGTTATTTTTAATGTATTTTTTATGATTACATATATTTTATTTAATTTTAAAGGCATAATTCTTTCCCATTGTTTTCTAGCTCAGCTGGATACAGAGCAGCTGGTGACATTGAAAGGGAAAACTGTCATTGATTACTCACTGAGGTACTCCAGCTGTAGTTTTATAAATTTCACTGCCTTTTCTCTCCCAATGTCTCTTAGTGTTAATTATTGTCATTAATTTTTGAATTAGCTCGTAACTCAACCACTAGTTACATGTACCAGCTGGTACAAATGAGCTCATTAATACCTCATCTACTGGGAAAAGTGCAGGAGATGAGGTTGGCAGGAGAATAATGCACACTAATAATAATAATAATAAGCACACTGCTAATAATTCATTATTATTGTTTATAGGTATCTCCATTACATTTAATTAAGTGAAGACTTGCTTTCTGTCATTTTTGATTTCTTACGTTATCTCTCAAAGTCTCCTTATTCTGAAGAGCTCATCTTACCATTAGTGGTACAACTGTACATGTTTAATGCTAGTCTTTGGATCAGGGCCAGTAAGAAGGTAAGAGCATACTATTAATATACTATTAATGCACGGTAATATACTGAGAGTGTGCAGGGGATAGTGATGGGCAATTCCGAGTCTGGAGTATTTGATCCTTCGATTCCAAATGGAATTGTACTCAAATTGAAAGAGAAGTGGAAATTATTTGAAACAATTCCGAATCAAACCACTCCCAACCACACCATTTAATATTAATAGTTAATTAACCAGTAGTTAATACCTCAATTATGCATTTTTATTGCTGCAATTGATACCACGGGGCTTTGCACATGCACAGATGTAGTACTCGGAATTAGTATTCGCTCTCAGTCTCAAAAGTATTTGGAATTGGAATTGAATGCAAATTTCTGGATCCACCCATCTCTAGCAAGGGATATACTGAGTTGCGATTTTAAAAACCAACGCCTGCAGTTTGACTAATAATGTATTAACTTACCAGTATCATTTTAATCCTCATAATACCTCTGTAGCTCTTTTAAAAATAAAGTGATGTAGACATTACCTTCAGCTAATGAATTCTTGCTTTTCTTTGCTGTTCTTTTCTTCATAATGTCTGATAGTGTTCCTCTATTAAGCTCATCATCAGTTACTAGTAGAAGGAGATGTTTCTCTTGTCCTTCCTCTTATCGTTTCCAGTTCATTCATTCTAAGGGAGCACTGCTGGTACTATTCTGGGACTTGATGATGTCTATCAGTCAAAATTTATTTGTAAAATTTGCTTTACCCTCTGTTGCCTTCAGTGATTATTATTATTTTTTAATAAGATTGTCAATCTCTTTTCTTTACTTGATTGCTGGATATCTTGGTGATTTCTTAGTAAGCAGATATAAAATTGTTCTGGTTGGATCATATGTTACATTTATTTTACTAATTCCTTATGCAATCATGCTTTTTGTATCGTATACTTGTACAATTTGTACATACTTACTGTTGTCATTATTTGGACTATCATGGATTACTTTTGCCATTGTACGTGTTACTCTGTTACCATTCAATATTGATCAGCTCATTGGATCATCAAGTGGTGAACTAACTGCTATCATACACTGGCATAATCTTGGGCTTATCATTGCTAGTGCTATTGCTGCTGCAATTTACTCATTTCATATAGAAACATTACATCTGTTTGTAGCTGGTATTGTCTGTGTTTCTGCAGTACTGGTCAGTCACAATCTCTTCAATGGATATCTTGATACTACTCCAGTGAATACAGTTAATCCAGTCAAACTGATAGTTAGAGTATTGTGTTATGCCAGGAAGCACAAGTATCCTGAGAATCGTAGTGCTCTGACCTACTGGGAGGAAGAGGCTCCTTCAAGACTAGACCTGGGTAAGGATAAATATGGTGGACCATTCACAGAGGAAGAGGTAGAAGATGTGAAGACTGTTCTTAGATTAATACCACTGGTGGTTATTTGTGCTGTAGCATTAGCATTTAATGAAGAAAATACTGTAGGACTAAGGCTTGAAATATATGGGTGTCAATACCCTGATCGATTGGACTTATCTTTTTGTATAACTTATGTATCTATCATTTTCCTCCACCAGTTTCTCATATATCCGTGTTTTCATAAGTACATTCCTAGTATGCTAAAGAGGATAGGAATTGGTCTGACACTAATAGTTTTTGTCAATATTCTTAACACTGGTCTATCGGTCATTGGTAACTATAAGTTTGGACAAACGTTTCATTGTCTCACTGCTTTTGTTGATAATCCATCCACTACTAGTAACCGTCAATGGATTATATTTAGTAATATCATTGATGCAGTTATATGGTATATGTATATTGTTGTACTGGTGGAGTTCATACTAGCTCAGTGTCCTAAATCAATGAGGTTGACTATAATAGGATTGTGGTTCTGTATCTGGAGGTTGAAGAGCACCATTCAATTTGCATTATTCCTTCCATTTCTTCATTACATGAGTCCAGAGGTTTCATTAGGTCGTGGATTTTATTACCTTCTTACACAGGCCATTGTGTCTTTATTACTTTTACTTATTTATATATTTCTTGCTAAGATATACAAGTTACGTGTGAGAGAGGTTGAAATTAACATTCATGAAATTGCTGAGAACCACACCATTAACGATATTGAACAAGAAGAGGAATACTGGAGGAAAAATCCAATGGAATTCTCCAGCCAGTCAACTGATATCATAACCTCAGGATATCAATAACTGGAACAATGCTTTTTGACATTTTATCAGTTTGTATATTATTCATTGATAGTTCCTTTGTAGTTGTTTGCTTTCATTTTCATAATTAAAGTTTTCTAAAAATGCAATAAAGAGAAAATATCAATTGTTATAACCTTATGCATGCACTATTAATACACCTCAAATTAATGCCATTATTATTAAAATATTATTATTATCATTACACTGGTTAGGTTCAGATATATCTGTACAGTCGCTTAGCCACTGAGTTCTGTATGTCTAAACTGGGCACTGCATCACTTGATTTATGTGACATTATTGGAGTGAACCAGTTAATGTTCATTCTTAAGGAACACTACACACTAACTAATGGAAAGAAAACTAACAAAGACATTAGACCATATCTTATACTGATGATTAAACAATTAGCTACTAAAGTAAGTGATGATCTTTTAATGTTTAATTATTATTTTATTATGCTATTAGGGTAAAGGAATACGCAAATTCTACTCTACATTGTACTTTCAACATTATTATTGTAAGAAATTACAGATCATTTTGTAATGTAGAGTAGAATTTGCGTCACGGGAGTAGGATTTTCATTTCATATTTTCGTTGGTTGTTCGGAATCCTACTCTTAAAAACCTTAATATTTGTAACAGAAAGTAAAAAATGGGGTTGAGTTTTGGAGCCTTTGCTTTTTTAAAATTGACCTATGATCATGAAAGCATTAGGGTAGGACAGTTCTTACCTTGGACCGAATGTTTTGTGATGATAAGAGTGAGAGAGAGGAAATTTAGAACATTTACATGTATACATGACTTATTTCTATCCTATTCTTTGCCCTTTCCTCCCCACCCTTACTCTCTCCTCCTCCTCTCATTCTCTAGTGGTTTAATGGACAGGATTGTATTATCATCAAAATCAGGTGACATGTCATGCTATGTTGCTAGAGTTTTTAAAGAGGGTGAGTTTTATTGATTTTAGTCATTATTATCTTGAAATATTCCTTTTCATTGCACTATTGTATTGCCTCCAGCTGAAGGTCGTGTGACCAGTGACTCCGCCCTATTGTACCCCCACTATAATAACAGATTGGTAATAGCGTATTATGATAAGAATGGGAATGGAAAAAACGAGGAATGAAGAACAGGAACCAAAAACTACCAATTTAATCGTCATTTATAAGGTTTCTGAGAGATACTATTCATTAGCTGAGTAAGTCATTAATTATTATTATTAATTGATGGGTGTGGTTTTATATTCTCCTTTTTAGTTTGTTGTGTTGGAACTGGTTGATTCTGCCCACTAATGAGGACAAACCGGTTTATCTGGTTCCTGATAGTTCATGCACTATCAGTGTCAGCTTTCCTTTTATCACAGGAGTATTTTTTAGAAAAGTAGTTAATTAATTAATTTATTATTATTATTATTATTATTATTATTATTATTATTATCATTAGGTGTTAATGTATGGTAGTGCATCAGTAGCTGAGGAGGTGTGTCACTTGAACCGCTGGGACCAATGTTCCCTCCCTCTCAATGCACTGGAGACTGGAACTGAGGCAGTTGGACATAGTGTCATTCTTCCTTAGGAACAGAGGTATGAATGATATACTATTTATAGTAACAATGATACTATTTATAGTAATTCTGATACATGTACTACATGTATTTATAGTAGTAATAAATGATGCTAATTATAGTATTGGTGCTATTTATAGGAATGCCATTATAGTAAGCAGTACTGTTTAGAATAGTAATTCTAATATAGTAAGGACTCATAGTAACAATGCTACACTGTCACATGTGTACAATCACATGTTACATGTAGTATACATGTAGACAAACAGACACACTACTAGCTTGCCTCTTTGTCTTATAGCAGCGGTTGCTTTGACTTGTGTACTTCATGTACAGTAGTTATTTTTTAAATAATAGAATTTTTTAAATAATAGAATAAGAAATAAATAACAATATCAAACAGAGAACTAGTCAATCAACTACTTTGCTTTACAATATTTATTTCTAATGTTAGTAGCAATAAATTTCTCTTCTATTGTATCCAGTGCTGTAGCTAATGATGACCAACTGGAACCTCCTTTATCTCTCACTTTATCTTCTCCTCTTAACCAGGCAGACATACACTCATGGAAACAGTCCACTGATTGTCCATGATAGTCTACTTTTATATCCTTTAGTTTGTCATCATATAATCCTAACTGTAGGCCTAATGCTTGCCACACAGAACAAGGCAAGTGTTGATCTGATGTTAATTCCTTAATGACAATATCAAGATCTTTAATATCTATAAAAATAATAATTAATTAATATTGTGTTAATATACACTGTACAGCCTACACTCCCACTACTTGACAATTGTGATAGTGCTTATTATAACATACCTAGCTTTACTGTAGTGTCTGTGTTGAATTTTTCAGTTATTTCAATCACTTCCTATACAATAATATTTGTCACTGTCTGTAGTATATTAAGAGTAACAGATGTACATTATTAGTAGTAAAAGCTACACAATGACAACACACAAAGACAAAGTAATATAAGAAATAAAATTACTTTAAGATGTGATCTTTTGATTATTAGTGCTATCACACAGTTTGTGTGTTAATTCTTACCTTAATATCACATCCTCCTAATAGTGACAGGTTACTAATATCTGATAATGATTCATCAGGTAGGATCTCCTTCAATTCTGTACGTCTAGTACCAGTGGTAACAAGAAATGGTCGTTGTTCAACTACTGCTGAGAGTACACCTTTTACACTATACACTGTCCTTTCTGTTGGTGTATTCACAGGATAGGCTAGTTCTTTAGGATCAATGACTAACTCTTTTACCTCTAGACTGGGACAGGATTCTTTATAAACACTCATTACCTCTCCTATCACATCTCTTCTTAGAGACACCATATTGTCACTGTAACCTTTCTCACAGGACATCATTACTAGTACACACTGGCTCTCATCCACAATCTCTACCAGTGATCCTACACCATGACCATTAAACCAATAAAGCCCATTCTTCCAAAATGTACAGTAACGATTTAACTTGTCATCTTCTTGAGGTAGAGCAATTTTGTAAGCAAGACGTAATGAGAGGACATGGAAGTATCGAGGAGGAAAGAAATGATGTTTACTAGTACACTGTAAACACCAACCAAACTGGTACACTTGACTAGTCATCTCATCAGGTCTATCAGTAGACAAAAGACATGGAAAGAACAACAACCTTTCTCCTCTTCTTTCTGTCCCTCCCTCCTCCTCCTCCTCTTCCACTACTAACTGGTGGAGGTTTGTGATTGTTAGAAAAGATGGATTGATTTGTTGACAGAGTTCCATGTTCTTTAGGAAACAGATCAACATGTCAGGATCATATTTAGGAAAGAGTCTAGTCAGACCAGACACACTAACAAGACCAGTATTGCTAGCAATGTCAACGTGTTCTTTGAATGTCTCTGGAGCAAAGAGAATTCCATTTACCTCAGTTAGCAGTATACCCTTATTCACAACAACCCATACCTTGTCTTCACTTTTAAGAACACTGATCAAACCAGTTGAGTGCAACGAATCAAGAATATCTAAGACCTCTTGTCTTTTATATGGTATAAAGTAATCATCACTGTACTCACCAGCAGACATTACATCAGAGAGGGTCAGTACATTCTCTTTCCTTTCCTCCAGTAGACCATACATCATGTGACAATAAAGACTCAAATTCCTTCCACTTGTACTACGAATGGACTCACAGGCACTAGACAACTTATTGAAGAAGGAATCCACATCACTCCCACCAAGCTTACGACAATCTAAGAAGACATTATCACACCTTTCCCTTAAAATAATTTCTTGTATTTCCTCCTTTCTCCGTCTTCTTTCGAAAGGATTAAATATCTCATCCACATGACTGACTATTACAATAACATGGCATTGATTAAGAGCTTTCTGTGCTTCATTTTTGACAACTGTTAGCCACTGATGGAGCTGTTTGATTGGTTCCTTCTCCAATATATTGACTACTATCAGGAACACACCACCAGAACCTTGTAACAGATTCTCAATGACAGCACTGTGACTTGAGTAGTATTCAGAATGACCAGCAAAATCATGAAGAATGATGTTACCCAGTGTCCTGTGTTTTAGTTTATAAGGAATGATACCAGCAGTACAGGGCACTACCCCTCTAACATTTCTAAAGGAACCAAGAACAATAGAACCAGTAGCTGTGTCATTGATAACATCACTAAGAGTACTTTTACCAGCTCCAGGATTACCCACAAGGAGGACGTTAACATAAGAATCAATTGGATGAGATGATTTTATATCACCAAACTTCTTAAACATAGGAAGAATAATATTTTTCCAGGTTTTTTGTTGATCCTCTCTAGCTAGTTGTAATGGTGTTGTTCCCTCGTTGTTTTTAGCCAATGGATCACATTTACCAGTTGACAGTAAACATTCAATAGCTACAGAACGACCCCAATCAGCAGCAAAGTGAAGTGGTGTCCACCCCCTCTTGTCAACAGTCATTGGATCACAGTTACACTCATTGATTAGATATGTGATTACATCAGATGAGTTGTACGTAGTGGCTGCTTTATGAAGAACAGTCACACTCCCATTGTTAGTAGCCATTGGATCACAGTGATGATGACTGATCAAGTACTTCATGACATCAAGTGATCCATTAGCAGCTGCTCTGTGAAGAACAGTATTTCCAAATAAATTAGTATCCATTGGATCACAGTGACACTCATTAATGAGATATCTCATCACATCAACATGATCGCCATCTGCAGCATAATGAAGACAAGTCTCACCTATGCTATTTCTTTCGTGTGGGTCACAGTGATAATTAGTGATGAGATCTTTTGTAACATCTAACCAGCCATGCTCTGAAGACAGATGAAGTAAAGTTATATTATCCCATATTAATGTTATTTTAATTTTATTTGGTTCCTTCACTAATGGTAGCAAGCGAACAGCTTCTTTATGATCTCCTTCTTTAAAAGCAGCCCAACATTTGTCCTCTAATGACATCTTGTGATCACAAAGTTAATTAGATTTATAGTTACCATATTAGGAACAGGAATCATTATTCATACACGATATACCCACACCCCATGATTATCATTAACTAAGGTGATGGGGAGAGGAAATAGAAAGGACAATATGCACACCTACAGCCTCAGCAATCTGCTTAATATTTATAGAAATAAAATTAATAATAATGGTTTTAAATAACATATTAAAAGAGATCATGTAGTCATGTTTTGTCTTCATTATTTTAATATCATAGTTTTTGCCGAATCCTTTCCGACAATCATCACATAACTTGTTATAAGATCATTCAGTTTCCCTTCACTCCTGTCTCTAATAAATGAGTACTTTATGTATTCTTACTCTTCAAATCACTAGCTATAAGTACCTCCCTCAACTCCTCCTCTTCCTTTCCTCCTCCTCCCCTCCTCTGATAACCTACACTACTGTACAGTCTCAAGCTTCTTCCAACAGATCTCTAGTGGTACATGTAACAATGAGTAATGGGACAAAGGAGGTAACACCTGTTTAAAGTGGCTTAGTGTTACCATGATCACTTGAAATTAAGAAATTATATTAAATTGCTAATTAAGAAACTCATGGGGTGGTTTGACCTTTTGATGCATGCTTTAAGAGTATAACCGAATTCAACTTCAGTGTCAATGTAATGTTAGGACTAGTACAATATTGTAAATCCATCTTTACACAAAATAGATAAGGTCAAACCATGTTCACAATTAATGAATGACACAACCAATAACTATTAACAATACCTAACCCAATCCAGACAATTTTTAGTCCATTACACAAGTACAAATTTTAGCATTTAATTAACGTATTGTTTAATTTATTTATGTGTCACTTAGAAAAGTGATCATGGCAGACGTTATGAAATTATGTTGATGCCTGAATAGAATTTATTTTTATTCTAGTGTAGATAATGAAGCATGAGTCAAAAAGTCAAATCGCCCACACTTTTGATTACAAATGGATGGTACACTGGCTTAGCATCGTAATTATTGTAAACTATATTGGCTTAATGAAATTAGAAAATTTTATAGTAGACTTTCTGAGGCATTATAATAAATTATCGGTCGTTGTAACAACTGAAAGCACTGTATATAACAACAGTATAGAACAAGCAAGAATAGAATTCTGGTGTTTACCGTTATGTTATACGGCACTTCCAGTCACAATGCAAATATTGTGAACAAGGCTTTATATTATAGTGCTGCTGTATGTGAAGAGTATAATTGGGTATATAAGGCCCTTACTAGTAAAGTAGTTCTGTTTATTTGTTTGTACGTGTACATCATCAGAGTGCAGAGACTTTAACAGTTATATTCTCCTAGTAACAATTATGACACTGCACTATCAGGCAAGACATGCATACATGTATAATGATACTAATATTCTCCTGATCTATATCCACTAGTTTATGGGATTGTAATTCATAGTTCATAGTAAGTACGTGTATATTAATAGTAAACATAGTTTGGAACTAACAGTAACTATTCAACTAACAACAAACTATCAGTGGTATTTCTAATTATAGAGATAGCAAAAACATCAGCAAAAATAATAAACAGAACAAAGGGGAATACTATGGACAATCATCTAATGTTAGTAGTATCAATTAATGCATCTTTTCTTCTATTGTATGCATTTTTGTAGGTGCTTTATTGTAGTGCCTGTGTCGAATTCTTTATCACTTCCTATACAACAACAACAATAATAATAATAATAATAATAATAATAATAATACTTGTAGTGCTTGACTATATTAATGAATCAAACAGTTTGTGTGTTAATTCTTACCTTAATATCACGTCCTCCTAATAGTGACAGGTTACTAATATCTGATAATGATTCATCAGGTAGGACCTCCTTTAATTCTGTTCTTGTTCCATTATCATGTACTACGTACCTTTCTCTCTTGTCAATAGCAGACAGTATATCTTTTACACTATACACTGTCCTTTCTCTTGGTGTATTCACAGGATAGGCTAGTTCTTTAGGATCAATAACTAACTCTGTTACCTCTAGACTTGGACAGGATTCCTTATAAACACTCATTACCTCTCCTATCACATCTCTTCTTAGAGACACCATATTGTCACTGTAACCTTTCTCACAGGACATCATTACTAGTACACACTGGCTCTCATCCACAATCTCTACCAGTGATCCTACACCATGACTATTAGACCAATAAAGTCCATTTTTCCAAAATGTACAACGTCGCATTAACTGGTTGTCTTTTTGAGGTAGAGCCATTTTATAAGCAAGACGTAATGAGAGGACGTGGAAGTATCGAGAAGGAAAGAAATGATGTTTACTAGTACACTGTAGACACCAACCAAACTGGTACACTTGACTGGTTATCTCCTTGGGTCTCTCCATATTGAGAAGACATGGAAAGAAAAACAACCTTTCTTTTCTTCTTTCTGTCCCTCCCTCCTCCTCCTCTTCCACTGCTAACTGACGGAGGTTTGTCATTCTTAGGAAAAATGGATTGATTTGTTGACAGAGTTCCATGTTGTTGAGGAAACAGATCAACATGTCAGGATCATATTTAGGGAAGAGTCTAGTCAGACCAGACACACTAACAATACCAGTATTGCTAGCAATGTCAACATGTTCTTTGAATGTCTCTGGAGCAAAGAGAATCCCATCCACCTCAGTTAGTAGTATACCCTTATTCACAACAACCCATACCTTGTCTTCACTTTTAAGAACACTCATCAAACCAGTTAAGTGCAATGAATGAAGAACATCCATGACTTCTTCTTTATTATTTGGTATAATGTAATCATTATTGTCCTCAGTAGCCAACATTACATCAGAGAGGGTCAGTATATTCTCTTTCCTTTCCTCCAGTAGACCATACATCATGTGACAATAAAGACTCAAATTCCTTCCACTTGTACTACGAATGGACTTACAGGCACTAGACAATTTATTGAAGAAGGAATCCACACCACTCCCACCAAGCTTACGACAATCTAAAAAGACACTATCACACCTTTCCCTTACAATAATCTCCCGTATTTCTTCCTTTCTCATTCTCCTTTCAACAGGATTACTTATCTCATCCTTATGACTGACTATTACAATAACATGGCATTGATTAAGAGCTTTCTGTGCTTCATTTCTGACAACTGTTAGCCACCGATGAAGCTGTTTGACTGGTTCCTTCTCCAATATATTGACTACTATCAGGAACACACCACCAGAACCTTGTAACAGATTCTCAAGGACAGCACTGTGACTTGAGTAGTATTCCGAATGACCAGCAAAATCATGAAGAATGATGTTACCCAGTGTCCTGTGTTTTCGTTTATAAGGAATGATACCAGCAGTACAGGGCACTACCCTTCTAACATTTCTAAAGGAACCAAGAACAATGTTTAGCTAGTTGTAATGGTGTTCTCCCCTCATTGTCTTTAGCCAATGGATCACATTTACCAGTTGATAGTAAACATTCAACAGCTTCAGGACGACCCCAAAGAACAGCATAGTGAAGTGGTGTCCGCCCCTTCGTGTCAACAATCATTGGATCACAGTGATGATGATTGATCAAGTACTTCATGACATCAAGTGATCCATAATCAGCTGCTCTGTGAAGAACAGTTTCTCCAAATGAATTAAAATCCATTGGATTACAGTGACACTCATCAATGAGATATCTCATCACATCAACATGATTACCTATTGCAGCATAATAAAGACAAGTCTGACCTCCACTATCTTTTTCCTCTGGGTCACAGTGATATTTAGTGATGAGATGTTTTGTAACATCTAACCAGCCATGCCTTGAAGACAAATGTAGTAAACTAGTGATATTCAGTGCTGCATATCCTCCTTTAATTTTATTTGGTTCCTTCACTAATGGTAGTAAACGAACAGCTTCATTATGATCTCCTTTTGTAAAAGCAGCCCAACACTTATCCTCCAAAAACATCTTGTGGATCAGTTAATTAGATTCATTGTTACCATATTAGGAATAGGAATTTATTATTCAAACACTATACACCCACACACACACACACACACACACACACACACACACACACACCCATGATTATCATTAACTAAGCACCCGATCCGGAAGCCTTCCCCATCAAATCATATATATGTGTGTGTGTGTGTGTGTGTGTGTGTATGTGTGTGTGTGTGTGTGTGTGTGTGTGTGTGTGTGTATTATGTACTATAATTTATTGGTCTATATGCTAAATATATTGCCAATGAGAGAAGCTATTGAAAAATGTCACCCGAGGGCCGAAGGCCCAAGGGCAATATTTTTCAATAATTTCTCAAATTGGCAATATATTTAGCATATAGACCAATAAATCATAGTATACAAGTAAATAAAAAACATTAAAAATGGAAAAGTAGTAGGATTGAATTGTAAAAAAGTAAAGAAACAAGAGGGTACTTGCAAAGTGGTGTGATAACAAATCCTACACTACTGCATGAAGAATATTACCCAAAAGCATTGTAAGTTATCCACACAGGCTACTACATGTAA